GTCAATCTTGTTGAGGATGGTTCGGGCACACTTCAGGAAGGCCTCCTCCACATTCTCGCCCGTGAGAGCGCTGGTCTCAAGGAACATCAGCTCTGGAGACAAGGCCTCCATCAGTCTCTGTCTCTTCTCCACTTCTGACCGGTTCCCCAAATGTCCCCTCCACCCTTTGCCCTCACCGCAGCCCTCTGCAGCAAATTGCTCACTTCCCTGGCACCCACCTAGCTCTTCCATCCTGGCTCAGCAAGCATGGCAGCCTGAGTCACATGACTCCTGGGTGCTTCCACAGCTTTCCCTGTCGCTGGTCTGTCCTCTCTGGCTTTCACTCTTACTGTCTATCAATGGGGTATCTGACCCCAATCCACTGCACTGAGAGACCTGTGAGAGCTGTGCCTTGGACTGGTTTCACCACTGAGTCCGCAGTACCACTTAGCAAAGCCTCAAACCCACCAGTCACCCATCAGCCATAGGATAAGATCTCAGGGAAGGTCAGTTGGAGACAGGATTCAAACCCCAAGTTTTGTAGTAGCAAAAAATCTCTATATCTAGAGGTTACAAAATGTGGGGAGGCATAGCTCTTTTTCTCTCTCTCTCAAGACTAGCACATTTAACCTTTGAGCCACAGCAGTTCTCTTTTTGGTGTTTTGCTAGTTAGAGATGAGTCTCTTGGACTTCCCTGCCTAGGCTGGCTTCGAACAAGGATCCACAGATCTCAGCCTCCTGAGTAGCTAGGATTACAGACCTGAACCACCAGCGCCCCAGCACCTAGGGCCATCTTGAGTTTACAACATCCTGTGCTAGTTCCCTAAACTAATGGATATTCTATAAAGCCAACCCCATCTGGGGTGGGGAGGGCAGATGATCTCTTGGGCAAGGCAGGGATCCCCCTTTCCCAGCTAAGGGTACTCAACCCCCAAGTGGCCACACAGCTCCACAACGACATCTGAACCAGATCCCTGTGTCTCCACCTTCAGGGCACAGCCACTGAGAGCTAAGAAGCAGATGGGCACCATGTACGGTCCAATCTCTCCGCCCCCACTGGTCAGTCTCAAGCTCAGGCCTCACCATTCTCCTGGGCAAAGCGGGAGGCCTCCAGGAAGGTGACCTCACGCTCAGGGTCCAGGTCCTTCTTGTTGCCACAGAGGATGACCACGATGTTTGGGCTGGCCAGTGTTCGGGCGTCGGTCAGCCAGGCAGCCAGAGAGTTGTATGTCTCCCGGCTGTGGAGAAGAAATAAGAGGAGGAAGGCAGCATGGGAGAGGGGTCGCTGGGGCCCAGCTGGCCCACACCACCCACCCCCTACAACCCACCTTGTGATGTCGTACACCAGCAGAGCTCCAGCTGCCCCTCGGTAATAACTCCGCGTCACCGACCTGTGGGGCCAGGGGGACCCAGTCACCCCCAAGGCTGGGGTCTGCCCGGGACTGCCCCCCTCTGCGGAGAGAGACTGGTGGTTCGGAGGCCCCCCTTCACCTTTTTGCCCACCCAACCCCCCCACAAAAAAACACTCTAGCTTTCCTCTGGTTGAGATACGATTTCTCTTCTTTGCCTCAGAGCAATTGAGTCTGTCTATAAGTCTCGCGCTTTGTTTGTCTGTCTTATAAACATGCACCACCCTACCCTGCTACTTTTAATCTGAGAGCAATGGTCTCTGTTTCTGTCTCTCCTGCTCTTCATGGCTGCCTGCTACTATTGTGGTATCACTGGTGACACTGCACACCTCAGTCTCCCGCCATCCCTCCTTGGGAGCCCAGGCTACCTACCGAAACCGCTCCTGGCCAGCCGTGTCCCAGATCTGTAGCTTCACCGTCTTCCCACCCACGCTGACCACCCGGGATCCAAACTCCACACCAATCGTGTGGTTGGAGTCCTGTTTGACTGGGAGATGGAGACAGACAGAAAGTAGTGCAGAGACTCAAGAGGAGCCCCCATCCTCTACAGACCCATTCTCATTACTGGGGTTACTGAAGACCTAGCAAAGAACATAGACCAAGGCAAAGGTGAAGAAGCTAACAACAGAGCTATTGTATAAATATGGCCATCCCAACCTGTGCCACCAGCTGCCCACCTGCCCTTATCTAGGCCCAGATCCACAGCTCAGTGCTCCCAGGCCACTGCCAAAAACTCACACTTGTTCTCAATGAACTGATGAAGCAGACATGACTTTCCAGTTCCTGCACTGCCGATTACCAGGAATTTGAAGAGGAAGTCTATGTGGATGGGGTTAGAATCAAGGACAAAAAGGGAAACAAGAAGAGTTAAGAGCCCAGCCTTGGTGACTACACCTGTAATCCAAGCTAATTAGGAGACTGAGATCTGAGGATGGAGGTTTGAAGCCAGCCTGGGCAGGAAAATCCTTGAGATGCTTATCTCCAATTAGCCACCAAAAAACTATAAAGCGGAGCTATGGCTCAAGTAGTAGAGTGCCAGCCTTGAGTTGAAAAAGCTAAGGGACAGAGACCAGACCCTGTGTTGAAGCCTTAGTACCCCCACTAAAAAATAAAATAAATTATGATTTCCCATTTTTCTAGATGAGAAAAATGAGGCCAGAAAGATTCATTGATTTGCCTGACATCACACAGGTAGAGCTGAATTGCAAACCCAAGCCAAACATCTTATGAGTGCAAGATCTTCCTGCCTTTACCTCCTGAACAGCTGGTAACATAGGCATGAAACCTGTGTGTGGCTACCACTAAAGACTCTAAAGAATGACATTTAATCAAGGTTGACAATCTAGCCTCTGTCCCTCTTTTATCTTATGGAACTAGAGATTGAACCCAAGGCCTCCCTTGCCAGGCAATTCTTCTACTTGCTTGAGCCATGCCCCATCCTTTTTATAAAGTTTATTTTGTGAGGCTACTAAGGCTTAAACTCAGGAACTGGGGTTCGGGCCCTGTCCCTTATTTTGCTCAAGCCTAGTGCAGCTCTACATCTGGCTGTTTGGGTTGGTTTTTTTTTTCTTGGTGATAAGATTCTTATCTTGGAGATAAGACTCAAAGACTTTCCTACCCATGCTGGCTTCTAACTGGGAGCTTCAGATCTCAGCCTCCTGAGCCACTAGTGTCCAGCTGTATTGATCATCTTGTATGGCCCTTGAGTGACGTCATAAATATCCAAATGGCCTTTGGCACTCTTGCACCTATATAGCTAGCCTTCAAGTTATATTCTCTGAACAGGGGATCTTTGTGTTTAATCCCTCTGCTTTTCTAGACTTGAATGAATCGGTGACCAGCACCCTGAAACCCTTGCATCCACTTGATTGTACATTCACACTGATTTTTTTTTCTATTTCCCTATCCTCTTCTCCCCAGACTCCCCTCAACCCTATTCTCACGCTTAAGTCCCATCCCTTCACAACCCTAACTCAAGGACAACCTAGGTACCAAGTTCATTCCAGAGCAGCCCAGGACACAGAGCTAGACCCGGAAGCGCGACCCCTGCCATTCTCGCGAGTGTCCCGCCCATTTCTTCCAGACTCCGCCCCTTCCGTGAGGGTGCCCGTCTTCCCCTCCAGGCCTATCCTGAACCCATCCCGACCAGCTCCCTCAAATCCCGCCTCGGACCCTCCACAAGCTCCGCCCACCCACCCCCGACCCACGAAACCCCTCCCCGCTCCCGCCCAGGCCCTGCCCCTGTTGCTGTAGGCCCCGCCCCCTGCGCCGAGAGCCCCGCCCCATTCCCACAGGCCGCATCTTCTGTGGGCCTGGACCCCGAAACCCCTCTAGCTTTAGCCCACCGTCCTCACCGTAGGTCTCGGCCATGACTCGGTCGCGGCCGCTAAGGGCCGCAAATATGGCGCCGCGGCCGCGCCTGGCTCCTCGGCAGGCAGCCGCTCCACTCCGGCTGCAGCCCCAGCTCCTTCCTACTCCCGGACCCGGCGCCACCACTTCCGCCTCCACCCGCCCCCCCCCCACCACCACTACCTCCCCAACACACCGCTCCGATGCGACCCGCTAATGCTGCGGGATGCCAGGCCACGCTTTTCAAAGCAGCGATTGGTTAACTCCGCGAGCAGGGGGCGGGATAAGAGACATTGATTGGTAGAGGAAGAGGGGCTAGTCGAGAGGGGAGGAGCCAAGACGAACGATTGGTGGGGCAAGTGGGAAGGGGCGGGACAGAGACGGCTCCTCCAGCAGAGGAACGGATTTGGTCAGGAGTCTGGCCATTTAAGACTCCTGATTGGATAGGAGCGGACACGGGGGCGGGGATACGAATTCGAAGAAGGGACAAGGACACGATTGACAGGACAGGAACGATTCTTGAGCTGGAGGGGGCCAGTTGTTAGTCCAAAGGCTGGAAAGAAGAAAACTGGAAGGACAGGTGGCCAATTCCTCTTCAACAACCTTTGCATATAGTCTCAAAGAAAACGCGTCGGTGGCTCACACCTGTAATCCTAGCTACTCTCAGGCTGAGATCTCTGGATGGCAGTTGGAAGTCAGCGTGGGCAGCACAGCCTGCGAGACTTATCTCCAGTTAACCACCCCCCTCCCCCCAAAAAAAGCCAGAAGCTCAACTGGTCTGGCGCTGGCCTTGAGTGAAAAAGCTAAAGGACAGTGGCTCAGGGCCTGAGTTCAAGCCCCAAGACAAGCATGCACGCACGCGTGCGCTCGCTCTCTCGCTCTCAAAAGCAGAGGATGGCTTGTCTAGTATGCCCGTGCCCCTGGGTTTGGATCTCTTCCACCACAAAGGAAAAAAAAAAAAATAAAACCTCTGTCCGGCAGGTGCCACCTCGGTGGTAGGGGGATCGGGGTTGGAGATCAGCCTGAGTTGCATCTGCAATTTATATTCTATTTACGATGCGTCTTCTCCCTTGCTCTTTGTTGTCCCCAAACTAAGTTTAGGAGCCCTTGTTGGGTACCCAGCTTGCAGTACAGGCTTTCACTAGTGAAAGTCAACCTAGCAACTGTGATGTCACCACTTTCAGGAAGATGATTGGTTAGATTCAGGACCCTGCGAAACATTTCCTTTGTAACATCCCTAATCCACCCAAAAAACCACAGAAAGGCAGTTGCACTGGGCTGATATATTTTGCTTAAAGCACAGCAGAGACAGTGGTAGGCTGAGTTCACTGGCAGTAGAAATCCCATTTCTGAAAAAGAGAAAGGCAAAACGTTGGAAAGAAAATGAGGAATTATGCCACAATGGATCTAGTGGTTTTAGCAAAAAACTTGTAGCCACAGGAACTAGATTTGGCCACACAAGACCTATGCAAATTGACCGAGAGTCTTCTAATTGTTGCTCCTCCAAAGTAGATAAGGGCCTGATACAGTGGTACTGGGTAAGACCTGCAACTCAGCAAGCTGAGGCAGGAGGATGGAGAGTTTAAGTCCAGCCTAAGCAACAGAGAGGATTGTCTCAAAGGGAGGAAAAAATTAGGTGGCTCACACTTATAATCCTAGCTACTCAGGAGACTGAGATCCAACGATCCTAGTTCAAAGCCAGCTATGACAGACAAATCCGATACTCATATTTCCAATTAACCAGCAAAAAGCCACAAGTGGCTGTGTGGCTCAAGCAACAGAATGCCATTTTGTTTTTGTTTTTTTGGGGGGGTCCAGTCATGGGGCCTGAACTCTGGGCCTGGGCGCTGTCCCTCAGCTCTTCAGCTCAAGGCTAGCGCTCTACCACTTGAGCCATGGCGCCACTTCCGGCTTCTTTCTTTTTGCTTATGCGGTGCTGAGGAATTGAACCCAGGGCCTCAGGCATGCAAGGCAAGCGCTCTACCACTGAGCCACCTTCCCAGCCCCAGAATGCCAGTTTTTAACAATAGAGACAAGTGAGAGAGGGAGGCCCTGAGTTCAAACCCCAGTACCAGCGCTCACACACACATACATGAATTTGTCCCAACTCAAACAGCAAAGCAGCTGCAGAGCCTATTTGCCCATCATACTCCCAAGGGTCTTCCCACCAGAACCCTGCCAGCCCCAGGAAACTCACATCTGTCTTCACATCAACTTTGCCAGGTTTCAGAGTCTGGTCCTCTCGGACAATACTACTGGGGAAATAGCCCAGACGAGCAGCCAGATCTCCATAATATTCTCCCTGGACCTGAAGAAGAATTGTTGAAAACCTGATCTGGGAAGACGGCATTCCTATCCCAGCTAAAAGCCTCTATGCTCTCCTCTCTTGGATCTCCACATGCCTACCTCCATCTTTCCACTAAAATGTCAACTGCTCAGAGGCCCTCCCTGAGCACTCCTAGTCACTCTGTAGGAATACAGTAGCCCACATTTACTTTTTTTTTTTATGGTTTCCTTATTGTCTTCCTTCACTAGGAAAGGTTATCATTCCCCATTCTATCTTTGATACTCAAGACAAGAAGCTGGCCCCAGGCACAGTGGTGGATACGTTTAATCTCAACACTTGGGAGCATGAGACAGGAGGATCAACTTTTGCACCAGGGGTGTGTACAGTGAGTTCAAAGCCAGTGTAGCTACATATCAAGACTCTGTCTCCAGGGGAAAGAGAAAAGGACTTGGTGCTAAATGATACCACAGTTACTAGAGTAAAAATAAAGTAGCTAGATGGCTGCTGGTGGCTCACATCACCAACCATTCAGGAGGCTGAGATCTGAGGATCATGGTTCAAAGCTAGCCCAGGCAGGAAACTCCATGAGGCTCATCTCCAACTAACTACAAGTGGTAGAACGCTAGCCTTGAACAAAAATTCAGGGACAGTGCCCAGGTCCTGAATTCAATCCCTATGACAAACATAGTATGTCACAGAGCTCTCTCCCCCCCTTCCCCCCCCCACCCCGCCTCTGGTTTTCCCTTTAGGTGAGAAACAGGTTTTGCTCTGACCCCAGCCCCATATCCTTCCCTGTCTCTCTCCCTGTCTGTTTCTGTCTCACTCCAGACTCACACTTCCTCCCCAGAAGAGGCGGCCACGGCCTTTCAGCTTGGAGAAGACATACACAATTTGGCCCCTGTGTATGGTCAGGAATCGGCAGTCGGGGGCCACGTAGTCCTGAAGGGCCACCGCCATAGAAATGGGGTCTGGGGAAGGAATAGAAGGGAAATGACAACAGTTTCCACACAATCCACCAACCCAAACCCCCAACTCCTGGGTTCCCCCACTCTTACGGCTGCATTCCTCATCCGCACAGAGTTTCCTTTCAGCCAGCTTGGGCATGGGGCGGCCTGCCCCTCCAGGCCCCGGGAAAGCACACAGCAAGAAGATGACAAGAAACAGTGCAGACCCCGCCATCATGGATTGTGAGCAAGCAAACAAGTGGGGTCTCTTTCCTCTTGCCATCCCTCCCCTCCTCCCCTTCTGAGACACAAGGAAACCTGTGTTCTCAAGCCTTGTCTCCGCCCTAAACCAAACTTCCCCCACCACACTCACCATCCAGATTGGCAGCCAGAAGCACTTCCAAGGTAAGAGCAATCAGTCTAAGAAAATGCCCCCAGATGGGCCCCAAAGCAAACCAGGCCACTCCAAGTGAGTCACCCCTCCCCTCGCCAACCATCTGAGGCCAAGATATTCAATTCCATCATCTTTTGAGTCAGCTAAGTTATCTGGACTCTGGTACTTTGCTATCTCCCATTGTCCCCAGGGACAGAACTAGAGCAAGTATAGAAATTCATCTTGGAATTTCCTTGTGTGGGGTAGGGGAGGGGTGGGGGCACAAAACAAGGCAACCTTTGATTACCTGGACCAGCCTCAGGGCTCAGATGCTGAGTGAGCCCCTTATTCTGGGCCTCAGGCAATGCCTCCCCTTCTATTGCTCACTAGCAAACTCCGGACCAGATGACCAGGGCTAGGCTAAGTCCTCCTCTCAAACCACCCCTCCTAGCTATAAAATGGAGATCACAAAAGCAAATTCCTACAGTCTCCCAAAGGTACATTTCAGATTATTTATTTACTTATTTATTGGTTGGGGGGGGGGTAGACGATGTCCCTGAGCTTCTGTGCGCTCCTGCTTCCAGGTTTTGTTTTTGTTAGTCATGGGGCTTGAACTCTGGGCCTTGGCGCAGTCCCTTAGTTCTTCAGCTCAAGGCAAGCACTCTACCACTTGAGCCACAGTGCCACTTCCAGTTTTCTGATGGTTTATTGGATAAGAGGCTCATGGACTTTCCCGCCTGGGCTGGGTTTGAACCCCGATCCTCAGATCTCAGCCTCTTTAGTAGCTAGGATTACAGGCATGAGCCACTGGTGCCCGGCTCACTTCCAGGTTTTGGTGGTTAATTAGAGATGAGTCTCACAGACTTTCCTGCTCCAGCTTTCAACTGTAATCCTCAGATCTCAGCCTCTCCAGTAGCTAGGATTACAGCAATGAGCCACCAGAGTCCAGCTTTTATAGATGGTTGGCACCACCTAAGCAGAGGCAATTATAATTCCATTTCACAGGGCAATGACAGTGTACAGATTCTGGAGTGGGAGAAATGACTCAAAAGGCTAGAGCCCCTGAGATCAATCCACAGTACACACACACACACACACACACACACACACACACACACACACAAAAGGCCAGATTTAATGGTATATACTTGTAATTCCAGCTACTTGGGAGACTGAGAAGTTGGAGGATGGGAAACATTGAGATCCCCACTCAAAATTAAAAAGTAGCTGGGCCCTGGTGGCTCACTCCTGTAAACATAGCTACTCAGAAGGCTGAGATCTGAGGATCATGGTTCAAAGCCAGCCTGAGCAAAAAAGCCTGTGCCTGTTATCTCTAGTTAATTACTAAAAAGATAGAAGGGGAACTGTGGCTCAAGTAGTAGAGTGCCAGCCTTGAGCAAAAACAAGAAGGTCTGAGTTCCAAGCCACAGGACCGGCAATTAAAATTAAAGGAGTAATTTTTTATATTCATTCAATAAATATGTGATCATACACATTATGTTAGTTCCTATTCTTGGCCTTGGAGACTCATCAGGAAGTGAAAAACTTGCATAGGGGCAGACAAACAGTAAACCCACCTCGGGTAAACAAGTGTGTGAAGAAATCAAGGGTCGGTTGGTGAAGTATATGCTTTGAATGGGTGAGGCCAGAGTTTCTGTCCCCTCCCAACCCCCCAAAAAGAGATTATTTTAGAACACACTATGATTAGCTGTAGCCCATAATGGTTGAAATTAATTTCCCAAATCTCAATTTTACTTATCCATTGCTGCATAATTCATGACAGCAAAGTATCCTAGATCAAGGCTGCATTAAACAAATTTGTAATGATGACTGGCAAAGACCCTGTAGAGATTTGGTATTATCTGTGTCTTCAGGTATGATCAAGAGGTTCAGCGGCATTCCCCCCAGAAAAGCGGAGGGGGGGTCCCCCACTGTCTTCATGTGCTGTAGATCCGGCAGGAAATTTCAAAAGCATGAGGAACAGAGGGTGAAGGTTATTCAATGTGGCCATATCCACTTCATCCAGGACCCCACCCTCCACCCCAACTCCCATGGAAAATTTATTTCTCCTCCATAACACAGGCATTCCAGCAGGGCCCTGAGAGACACAATGCTATTAATGAGACTGCAAATGGGAGCCCCGCTCCATTCCCTTCTTCACAGTCCTCGAACCCTGAGGTCTCTCACTCGACCCCAGCCCTCTGTACTGCTTCCAGACCTTTCCAATGGCCTGGATGTTCTGGGTCTTTTCTGGGGGCTCAGCCCAGGGAGTACTTCAGCTCCAGCCTTCTGCAATGCTGTCTTTAGTTTTCCTTTTCTGTCAAGCTGAGGAGAAACCCAGGGCCTGGAGTCCAGTAATATGCCATGGCCAGAAACAGGAAGTGGTGAATATGAACACTCCTCTCTCACCTGTATACCTGTTTCAGATGCATGCGCAAGAACCACCTCCTGCCCCGCTCCCCAACCTCTGGATTGCCAAGTGAGCACGTTTTTTTGCTATCATTAGCACATTTACCATTGGCTTACTGCACACCCGATCCCCACCACAGGAGACAGCAAGCACACACTAAGTGTGCTGTGGGTGTGTGCACAAGCATTATCCTGGTATTAACAGAAGAAAATCAAAATACCACCAGGACATGCATAGTCCTTGGGGTAATGGGGGGAAGGGGGGTTGGGAAAGAAGGGTGGTTTCCCAGACTGGAAATCAGGATCAGCTGATCACAGAAGCCACACATCCACAAGCGCCAGGCCCATGAGGCCCATGGCTTCTGTGCAGTGGGTGAGACATTTCCACTTGCCCACTTGCATTAAGGCCGCACCACGGAATGATGGCAGCAACCCCATCCTCCTTTCCTGACCTTCACGTCATGTAGGGAGAAAGACTACACATTCCCCTACAGCAGACAGTGGAGAGGAGGAGAAGGAAGCAGCATCCAGACAAAATGGGGTGCTCTTAACAAGTGCATCTTTGTGTGGTCTACAATCTGCCTAACTTGCACAGGGCAGTTAGAAAATAGAACCGGTCGGGTGCTGGTGGCATACCTGTAATCCTAGCTACTCAGGAGGCTGAGATCTGAGGATTGCGGTTCAAAGCCAGCCTAAGCAGGAAAGTGTGTGAAACTCTTATATCCAATGAACCCCCGGAGAACCAGAAGTGAAATCGTGGCTCAAAGTGGTAGAATGCTAGCCTTGAACAAAAAAGCTCAGCGATAGAGCCCAGGCCCTGAGTTCAAGCCTCATAACAGAAGAGAAGAGAGGAGGGGAGGGGAAAGGAGAGGGAAAGAAAGAGAAGGGGAGGGGAAAGGGGAGGGGAGGGGAGGGGAGAAGAGAAGACACAAGACAGAAAAAGAGCCAGAAGTCAATGTAACTTAAGTTTGTGTAATGTTATTATACCAACTGTGTGTTTTCTCAAAATTCCGTGAGATCTAAAAGCCTGGGGTGTGTTGATATGAAGGGAAGGAACCATAGAAAGCAAAAAAATAATGGGACAGACAAATAGTTGTGGAAAAAAAACAAACCTCAAAAAACAAAAACAAAAACAAAAAAAAAACAACACTTTAATTCCAGCCTAACAGCGCCAGGTGCAATGTCTGGGGACAGACTCTGGGTACAATGCTGTGTGGCGACCACGCACTCACACACGGCTCTGAGAAGGCCCCCAAGGGGGACTTACCTTCAGGGACTGAGCCAAGGGGGACAGAGGTGGCCCCAGGACGGGGTTGGGGGCAGTCCGGGGCAGGGGAAGGGTGCTACTTCTTGGCAAAGGAGATCTTCATGGCGTTGTTCTGGGTGATCTTAAAGCCTTGCAGGGCGTCGCGAGCTGCCCCGGCCTGAACCTCATTGTCAAACTCCACGAAGGCGATGTCGTGCCGCCCCGGGACCAGGCGGACCTCTTTAAAGCCAGGGAACCTATGAAGAGGGAACAGCAGATCTCAGGGCTCCACCCCTCATGTCAGCATCTAGGGAACAGATGCTAAACATCCTACAGAGGGCGGGACAGGCTCTCACAACAGCCAGATTATCAGGCCCAAAATGTGGACGGTGCTAATAAGACAACAGGCAAGCACCAGTGCTCATACCTGTAATCCTAGCTACTCAGGAGGCTGAGATGTAAGGATCATAGCTCAAAGCCAGCCTGGGCAAGAAAAGTCCATGTGACTCCTACCTCCAATGAAACAAACAAACAAAAACCCCAGCAGTGGAGCTGTGGCTCAAGTGGTAGGGCACCAACCTTGGGTGATAAAGTGCAAGGACAGTGTCTAGGCCTTGAGTTCAAGCCTCAGGAAAGGCACATACACACACAAAAGGCTTAAAACCTGGAGTTTACTGATCCCCTCCTCAGAGGCTAAACCAAGACCAGCGTGACCCCATCTCCACAGATGGCCTCTCCCACAGCCCCAGCCTGGAATCCTCCCCCTTCCATAGCAGTCCCTGCTGCCTGCCAGGCCTGAGCTGGCTCAGGGGGCTAAGAGCACAGCCCTGAGCCCACTCGCGTCATTTCCCTTCGTGGCTGCACTTACTGGTTGAAGAGCATGGACAGCATCAGTTCGTTGGTCTCCTCCGGCAAGTTGGTGAGGAACAGAATATGATTGGGTGGGTTCTCAGAAAGCTGCAGAGGAGGGAGGGGACCAGCGTGAACACCAGAGCAGCAAGCCGGGGTGGGGGGGAGCTTGGTGGCCCCACATGCACTCCTACATTTCTATCTGCACCCCACACCTCCAAAGTGTGGTACAAGGCCAGCTGCACAAACTGGCACTCGGCAGATAAATCTAGATGCTGGCCTCTACTCCGGCCTCCCCCTGGCCTTCACACCTCCCAACAGGCTGATGCCTCTGACTAGGCCGCCCTCCTCACCCCCAGCTACTTGCCCTATACTTTGGGATCTCCGCTCCAGTACCAAGACGGCTGCCCAGATCACTCCATCTAAAACAGCTCTCTACCACCCTGCCCATTCTGCTCCCCTATTCTGCTTTAGAGGACTGGGGAGGCACAGGACACTTACAGGCTGGGCAGGTGGCATCTGCCCTGGCATGAGCTGCTGCGGGGGCATGGCTCCTGGTGGGATCTGTCCTGGCGCGAGGCCTGGTGGTGGAATCATGCCAGGAGGCGGCATATAGGGCGGCTGTCCTGGCATGTGGTGCATGATGCGTGGGGCTTGAGTCATCGGCGGCATGCCCATGCCCTGCAGAGGAAGAGGATGAGATCGACACACTAAGGTAGGAGGCGAAGCCAAGGGAAGGCAAGTTACAGTGCCCTCAGATGAGAGACAAAAAGAGCCTGGCCCCAGTGGCTCATGCCTGTAATCCCAGCTACTCAGGAGGCTGAGATCTGAGGATTGCAGTTCAAAGACAGCCCAGGCAGGAAAAGTCCCCGTGAGACTCTTCTCTCCAATGAACCACTCAAAAACCAGAAGTGGCACTGTGGCTCAGGTGGTAGATCAATCACCCTGAGCTGAAGAGCTAGCTGAGGGACAATACCCAGGCCCAGAGTTCAAGCCCCACGACCAACCAAAAAGAGAAAGACAGAAAGAGAGAAAAGAGCCCACACTCAGCCAGGTGTAAGAGTGCATGTCTGTAATCTGAGCACTTGGGCTGGAGGATTGAGTTCAAGGTGTATCTGGGCTACACAGCCATAATCTGTCAAGAAAATAAAAAAGGGATCGGTATATATGGATATTTCTAGACTCTTCTGTCTGCCCCATTGGTGTATCTTTTCCTGCTTATTCGACGATCCAGGGTTTGAACTCAGGGCCTCCAGCTCTCCCGGCTTGCTTGCTTGCTTCACTGGCCCTCTACTAATGTCACATCTTTTTGCTGGTTCATTAGATAGTCTTATAGACTTTCCTGCCTGGGACGGCTCTGAACTGGGATCTTCACATTTTGTTGGCTTTACTTCCACGTATTATTTTCAACAAACAGCTTCCTTGTTTAGTAACGTGGAAACAACTGTTTTCACACTAGCCTTATATCCAGACCCTGAGTTTAAGCCCCATGACTGACCAAAAAAAGTGAGAGAGAAAGAGAGAAAGACAGACAGACAAACAGCAAAATCAAGGTGAAGAAAGAAATCAGGCAATAGATAATGGAGAAAAATAAACTTCAGAAATTTAGTCCAGTAGAGGAGATAGGTATTAAAAAAAGAGAACCTACCCAGGGGAGGTGCTCAAACCTCCTCTGCCCCTCCCAGAAAAACACTGTATTTGTTAAAAAAAAAAAAAAAAAAAAAGAAGAAGAAGAAGAATCAGGTGCCGGTGGCTCAACATCTGTATTCCTAGCTATTCAGGAGCCTAAGATCTGAGGATCTCAGTTCAAAGCCAGCACTGGCAGCAAAGTCTGTGAGACTCTTATTTCCAGTAAACCACTCAGAAACCAGAAGTGGCACAGTGGCTCAAGCAGTAGAGTGCTAGCTAGCCTTGAGCTGAAGAGCTGAGGGACAACACCCAGGCCCAGAGTTCAAGCCCCAAACCCACCAAAAAAAAAAAAAAAAGAAAAAGAAAAAAATGGAGCCAGGCACTGGTGGCTCACACCTGTAAACCTTGGAGGGTTCCTCAGGAGGCTGAGATATGAGGATCATAATTAGAGGCCAGCCAGGGCAAGAAGGTCTCTGAGTCGCTTATCCTCACACCAAAAAAATCTAGAAGTGGTGCTGTGACTCAAGTGGTAGAGTGGCAGCCTCGAGGAAAAAAAACAACTCAACTCAGAGACAGTGCCCAGACCTGAGTTCAAGCCCTAGGACTGACACAAAAAAAGGAAGGGGTCTGAATCCCAAGGAAGATGTCTCCCCACCTAGCGAGAGCCTGATACTGCTGGAGGCCTGGTGGCTTACCGGGACAGGCCCCTGTACAGCTCCCACTACAGGGGCAGCGGCCCCACCCTGCACAGCCTTCTTGGCCGATGGGGTCTCCTGGCTTTTGGGCTTCCTCTTCTCCCGCTTGCGGTCCCGTTCCACAAAGGTCCCCTTCATCTTGGCAATGATATCCGAGTCCGTCTTGGCATACTGGATGCGCTACCAAAAACAGAAGGAAAGGTGTGGGATTCAGAGCCAAACTGCCTGGGATGGAAAAAATTGGACCCACCGGGAACTTGGAAAAGAACCATTACAGAAACTGCTTGGCTGCAATTTTACTCATGCCCAAACTGGGGGATGCTTCCCATTGGGAAAAGAGGAGGGTTGAGTGTAAGTGCTAGAACAGGCTGTACCTGACACACAGTGAGAACGCTGGGGTTTTTAGGGGACAGATGGAACTGCCTCACCACCAGCCCCGTGCAGGGGAGCTTCTGCTCACACATGGACAGAGCTCAGCGGTGCAGGTGCTAAAACTCACCCACTCAGCCCTCTAAGGGACAATCTGTCTGAGGCTGGGCCCCCACTCCAGGCCTGGAGGACGGCCAGGTGAGCACACAGAAGCCCTGTCCAATGGAGCGCGGTCAGCACGGGAAAGAAGGCTGAAACATGACTTCCAACATGTTGACAAGTGACATCTGCAGACAGGGTGGCCAGGAAAGGTCTCATGGAGGTGACATTTGTCCAGACCACAAAGGGGGTTGGGGGAGAGCCAACCATGAGGCTATCTGGAGACAGAGCCTTCTAGCACAGGAATGGCCACACAAAGAGCTAGGCCTGCTGACACTGATGAGAGGAAGGAAGAAAGCAAAGGCCCCAGGTGGTCAGGAACCATCATGAGTAAAGACTGTATTTGTCCTAGGAAGCTTAAGGCTACAGTGTTGGAAGCAGGAGAGCAAGGAATCCTCACTCAAGTCTCGAAAGGAGCCTTGTGGTGTGGACAAGGAACTTGGGGAGCAGGGCTCCCATGAACAGGCAACTGCCATCTGCTCTGACTAGGCCTGAAGCACGAAAGTGCAAGAAGCAGGCAATATAAACTGGAGGCTGGTGGCTCATGCCTATAATCCCAGCTACCTCAGGAGGCGAGATCTGTGGATTGAGGATGGAAGCCGATCTGGGCAGGAAAAGTCTGTGAGACTCTTATCGCCAATGAGCCATCAGAAAACTGAAAGTGGTACTGTAGTTCAAAGTGGTAGGCTTGAGCAAGAGTTCAGGACAGCACCCAGGCCCTGAGTTCAAGCCCCACAACTGACGTCAACAACAACCACAAACGAGAAGCAGGTGGCAGTAGCTATGTGTTTTGATAAAGTTCAAAGGACTTTCTAACAAAATTCTCTCTCTGTCTCCTTACCATGGGCTTGTCATAGAAGGGGAAACCCTGCATGGAGCGCAGGGCATTGGTGGCACTGCTGACTTCCTTGAAGATGACAAAAGCCTGACCCCTCATCTTCAGGCTCCGTGATACCAGGATATCCAGAATCTGGCCAAACTGGGAGAAGATGGCATACAGGGACTTCTTCAGTTCTGTGGGCAGGGAAGAGGAAGAGAAGACCACATTGTAACCAGACGCCTATGTTCCATATCCTAGGACTCGACTGTATCAACTAGGGGACAGAGCATCCAGAATGTCACAGGTCAGTCACCTCTCCTGACTGCACAGTCACAAGAGAGGAGAACAAGCAGGTTGGGGACAAGAAGGTGCTGGAGTGCGTCGTGGGAAAGGCTCAAAATAGTATCTGGGCTCACACCTGTAATCCTAGCTACTTAGGAGGCTGAGATCTGAGGATCACGGTTCAAAGCCAGCCCAGGCAAGAAACTCCATGAGATTCTTATCTCCAATAAACCACTAGAAAACTGGAAGTGGCCCTAGCTCAAGTGGTAGAGCATTTGCCTTGAAGTAAAGAGCTGAGGGACAGTACCTAGGCCCAGAGTTTAAGCCCCAAAACCAACCAAAAAAAAAAAATCTACTCTTGTGTGCACTGATACAGGGGCTTGAACTCCAGACCTGGGCCCTGTCTCTCAACTTTTTTTTTTTTTTTTGCCAGTCCTAGGGCTTGAACTCAGGGCCTGGGTGCTGTCCCTGAGTTTCTTTTGCTCAAGGCTAGCACTCTACTGCTTGAGCCACAGTCACTTCCACCTTTTTCTGTTTATGGAGTACTGAGGACTCGAACCTAGGGCTTCACGTATACTAAGCAAGCACTCTATTTCTAAGCCACATTCCCAACCCCCTGAGCTTTTTTTCACTCAAGGCCAGCACTCTACCACTTGAGCAAAAATTCTATTTCTGGCTTTTTGATGATTACTTGGAGATATGAATCTCCTGCACTTTCCTTTATAAGCTGGCTTTGACCCACAATTCTGAGCTCTCAGCCTCCTGAGTAGCTAGGATAACACACAAAAACTACCAGTGCCTAGTAATAACCTAAATTCATTCCATCAAGCTCCTGTGGTTCTTCTGATGGTTTCTTTTTTTCCCCTCCCCTTTTCACATAGCTCAGGCTGGCCTCTGAACTCTCAGCTGCTCCAACTTCTGAATTGGGGGGGAGGGCAGGTGGCGGGATACAGAGGTGCAACACTATGCCTGATCTTGTGACCAACTGTCTAGAGATGGTAGAAAGAGTTGACATTCATTCTCCCTTCAGTCCACTGGGTATAACTAAAAACTCTAAGAGTTTTGTTGATTACAAGAATTGAGGTGGTTTGAATTTGTTTTGGTATTGAGGATCAAAGTCAGGACCTTACACATAGTTAGATTGTACGTTTTCCCCATTAGCTACATCCCAGGCAAGAGGTGAGAGAGCTTTTGTTATTGTTCTTGATTTGTTTAAAAACAAGACATAGCTCTGTGACACTGGCCACCCTTAAACCTCAGATCTTTCTGCCTGCAAATGCTCGGACAACAGAGTGAACCACTACTCCCAGCTCAAGAATAAGTTTTTGCTTTGTATGCCAGTACTGGGGCTTGTACTCAGGGCCTTATGCTCTCACTTGGTTTTTCCACTCAAGGCTGCCCCTCTACCATTAAACCAACCTCCACTTCCAAGAATAAGTTGTTCTTAAATAGATTTTCATTCCAATAACCAGGCACTGGTAGCTCATTCCTGTAATCCTAGCTGCTCAGGAAACCGATATCCAGATAGCTGTAGTTCAAGGCCAGCCCAGGCAGAAAAGTCTGTGAGCCTCCATCTCCAAAATAAAGAATAAAAAGTAGAGGTGAGGGTGTGGCTCAAATGGTAGAGGGCCAGCCCAGCAAGATCAAGGCAGAGCTCAAATCCTAGTATGTAACAAAGAAATGGGGGGAAAAAAATAAAACAGCAGTCTCCTGCAGGCTTAATGTAAGGATTACATATATTCAACTTTTACAGCCTGACAGAGATGGTGGAACAAACCTGTAATCCCAGTTCTGGAGTGGAGGTAAAGAGGATCTAAACAATGAGAACACCCCTGAAATCAAGACAATCTCAGTTTCCGCGCTCGAAGATGTCATAGGCCAGTGGAAAGACAGCCTGATGACTCACAAAATGATCTGGGGTTCAGGGGAAGGCAGGAGAAATCCAGTAAGGCTTCTTCTAAGAGAGATCCTGTATAAATTAGTGCCTAAATGAATTACCAATGCTGATCAGGTTCAAGGGCAGAGCATAGGCTGGAGATGGAGGCAGAGGTTATTTACAAAGACCAGTGGGGTTAGCCCTCTCCCCCACACCCCCGGTTTGGTTGGAGGATACAGCAAGAGTGAATGCTGGAAATGGAAAGGCATCAACTCATGCCGGGTAATCTACAATCCAGACTACACCAAAAACTTACCATCTTTCTTGATCTTCTCGTTGAGGTTGTTGATATAAATTGTGTGGTTGGGGCGGGTCTCAGGAACTGCCATTCTGTGAGAATCTGAGGTAGAGCTTTAAAAAAAAATTTAGAAAGTGACTTTAGTCTGCGTTACTCCAAATCTTTTGACTCAACTGCCTTACGGGGTCTGCTCAGGGATGGCTAAGAGGAAGACAGGCAGGCTCTAGAGTTGTGGGACTTGAAGGAACACCCAGAGAAACAATGCGTGCGTGGGACTCCTGCTCCTCCAGAAAGCGTGCTTAGAGCAACCTCCAAAAGTTTACTACAACTCCCAAGATGCACCACGCGAGCCAATAGGCGGAGCGTGCCAAGCGGCGATATCTATTGGTCCACACGGAAAAGGGGCAGTGCGGGCGAAAAACCCCGGATGTAGAGCCAGTTAAAGAAAGCAGCGATACTTTAAGATAACCTGAACTCCTATAACGCAAAAAAAAAAAATCCCCAAACTACGTGCGAATAGGCCCAGCACCAAGTACTCCTCCCACCCTCCCGGGGGCCGATGGCTGTTTTGTGGTCGAGATAACTTACCAACAAAAGCGGCAGCTCCGCCAAATAGCTTCAACTACGTTCCCTCAGACCGGACCACAGAGCTTCCTCCTTGGCCCCACCTCTGCTTTCCTGAATAACCAATCCCCGCACGGAGATTCCGAAGATTGACCAATCAGAGTCAGTCTCATCCCCTCGGCTCCAACTTGCCAATCAAAAAGACGCCTGGGTTCCCGCCTCAGTGGGAAAAATCCCTCCCCCTGCGAGCGTTCCGCGCTCCGCCGCGCCCCGGCCTACGGGCCCAATCAGCGAAGGTCACGAGTTCCTAGCCAATCTGCTCGCGCTGTAGTTTTCCGGAAGTCGTCTTTCGGAAGCAACACCTCTTCCCGGTCTTCTCACGGCTCGAGTCACGTGGTAGGCGAAAGGGGTGGGCCCTCGCTGCGCGATCGTCCACGTGACGTGGCAAAGACGGGGTGCCGGAGCTGCCATTTTGCGCGGGAGGGCGGCACCTTGTACTTCCTAAACTTCATCCCACAGCCTGGCGGTCTCAGATGTCTCCAATCTCAAGACTTTTCCTCTTGCTGATTCCGGGACCTCCTCTGATTGCTCGGCTGTTTTCCCTGCCTGATGCCCTTTTGACCTCTTGACCTCTGGCTCAAAGGTCAGCTCCCGGGTTCTGAACTTGGGTTTGGGCAGTGTGGCTTTGGGGATCCTCGGGTTTAAGTTCCTCAGGTTTCTAAGCTGTGGGTCCACGGCTTAGATCTGGCCCCTTATAACACAAAACGGAATCCAGCTCCAGAGGGGGAAGATAAGCCTTACAATACATATATAACCCAGTTCACCCCAACCTCCTAGCACAAATATTCCAGCTTTAAGGACCCCACTCAGGCCTCCCATCCCTGGAGTCAACCCCAGTCCTTGTCGCATGGTTTCAGGTTCTAGTCTTTGTTCCTTCACAATAAGTGGGTAACCACCACAGTCGGCAACTAAACTCTTAACATCTTTTTTTGTTTGTGACAGGGTCTTCTTATGTAGCGTACGATCCTCCCATCTCCCCAGGTGCTGAGATTACAAGAAGATTGCCACCACATCTGGATGCGCTAAAACTTTGAAATCTATATCCCTGAGACCAACGCTTTTGGGGAATCCTGCCTCCTGAAGACCCCAAAATGACCTCTCAGTGCCCTCTTCCCATAGAGTCACTAGTCCCTCCAAGAGCCCCCATCCTTCCACCTCCTCTATCCACAAATCTCTTGAATGTCTCATTTTCACTCCCTCTCTGTGGTATCCAGGCCCCCATCCCTCCACCACCTCCACTGCCTCCTCCACCCACTGCCATGGGTGCTGTTACGCCTCATGTTTATGGCCTTGAGAAGAGTCAGCTCCTGAAAGAAGCCTTGGAGAAGTCCTGCCCTGTTGCCAAGGGCAGAGAAGATGTGAAGAGGCTCCTTAAGCTGCACAAGGACCGGTAGGGTCTCCACATTTCACCCCACTTGGGCTCATCTGGGTGACAGTGACCTTGTCTCCGAGATCACTTGTTATCTCTCAAGAGTTTATTTGTCCTCTAATTCTTTGTTGTTGTTGGTGGTGGTGGTGGTCGTGGGGTCTGAACTCTGGGCCTGGGTGCTGTCCCTCAGCTCTTCAGCTCAAGGCTAGCACCCTACCACTTGAGCCACAGCACCACTTCTGGCTTTTTCTGCTTATGTGGTGCTGAGGAATCAAACCCAGAGTCTTATGCATGCAAGGCAAGCACTCTACCACTGAGCCACCTTCCCAACTCCTCAATCCTCTACTAAGGCCTATCAGCCATGATGTGCCAGTGCCTGGTCCAGTAGAAAAGGCAGTCAAATTTTGGGCCCACCACTTATCTCCATAGTAGCCAGGATTGTGGTGATAGAATCCAGAGGTGGGTGTCTGATCCAAGCTGGGGGAGTGTGAGGATTTCTGGGAGAAGAGGAACCCTCAGTGCTGCCAAGCAGGTCATGCAGGAGATATGTGATGAGAGAAGACAGATTGACCATAGGCCATAGGACTGGCCCATACGTGCACTTGCATGCTCACGCGTGTGCACATACACATATACAACGTGGCTGGAGAATTTGGGAGTATTTAAGTAGTACAAGGAATTAAAGTTAGGGCTTGGCCGGACACCAGTGGCTCACACCTGTAATCCTAGCTACTTAGGAGGCTGAGATCTGAGGATTGCAGTTCAAGGCCAGCTCAGGCAGGAACTTCTGTGAGACTTAGCTCCAGTTAACCACCAGAAAACCAGAAGTGCTGCTGTGGCTCACGTGGTAGAGTGCTAGCCGTGAGCTGAAGAGCTCAGGGACTGTGCTCAGGCCCAAAAGCTCAGACCACACAATCAACAACAACCAAAAAAAAAAAAAAAAGTCAAGGCCTCAATATACCACTTGAACTATGTCCTCTAGATTTTGCTTTTAGTTTGTTTTCCAGATAGGGTCTCAATCTTGTACCAGTGCATCCTCGAACCTTAATCCTCTTATCTCCTGAACTCTTCCTGAGCAGCCATGGGTTCCCATGCTCAGTGCTGGAAGTTTATGAATCCAGGCATTTCTTTTTCCTTCAGATTCCGGAGTGACTTGCAGTGGATTCTCTTCTGTGCTGACCTGCCATCCCTCATCCAAGAAGGCCCTCAGTATGTGCCCTGGGTGGAGGGAATGGAAACTCCTTCTAATCTCTACCTTACGGTATACAAAGGTCCAATAAAGACAACAGGCTTAAGGAACTGGGGCTGTTTCTCCCAGGTGCGGGTTGGTGGCCTTGTGGATGGCTGGCACCCTTCTGTCACCCCCCAGTGGCATCTCCCTGGAGAGACTCGTACAGGTAGCCATGGAGAGAGGCTACACAGCCCAGGGAGAGATGTTCTCTGGTGAGTTGAGTGGGAAAGAGCTTCAAGCCAGTGCTCCCCTCGGTCTTCCCTAAAAGGAGCTAAAGAGGCAGGATAAGGGGGAAAGCCGCTCACTCCATTCTCCAGGCCTGTTCCCTTTAGTTTAGTCAGCCAGAATGGTTACCAAGTTGAATTGGGGAGCCAGGCTGCCTGGGTTCCAAGCCCAGCTCTGCCTACTGGTTGGCTTTTCATGCTTTCTTTTCTGTATTTGTCCCCAAGTGTTGGTGGGTGTATTGAGGTTGGAAACATGGATCCTGTGCAAGCCCTTGGCATGTTGCTAGGCATATAGTGAGCTCGCTCTCTCTCTCTTTCTCACATGCAGTGGCTGACATGGGCAGGCTGGCACAGGAGACATTGGGCTGCCAGGCCGAGCTGATCTATGGTGGCCTGGGTGGTCCCAACCGAACTCGTGTCCTACAGCACCTCATCACTGGACAGCCCATGCTTATCCCGTATCCCAGGGCCTGGGAGGCAGACGGGTGGGCAGGGGAAGCAGGGGGTACAAAGGGCAGGTCCTTGGGCCTTTGGTCCTTAACATCCACATCAGCTACGATGAGGATTTCAATCATGAGCCATGCCTGAGGAAGGGCCACAAGGCCCACTGGGCAGTGTGTGCAGGTGAGATCCCCTCCTTTGTCCCTGTACCCCCTCTCTGGGTTTCCCCAACCCCCTATTGGCCTTCCCCACATTCTTGCCCTTGCCTTGATGCTCTACAGCCAGGCCATGCACTTGGGGCAGAGCAGAGCTGGGTCACCCATGTCCCCCACAGGTGACACAAGCATGAGACGCGGCAAGCAGTAGGTGCCTCAGGGCTCCCGTTTGGGATTTCCACAAAGGTACATCGCATCTGGAAATGGAAGGTGACAGTAGAGCATGTGACCAGTGCTTGGCACGTGACCCAGTTCAGGAAGCATCAGCAGCCTATCACCCTCATTACCCCCCTGCCTTGGAAGAGGCCACAATTGTACATGTCAGGAGGCCGGAATGGAAGCTCTTCTCAGCCTGTTCATGGAGGTTTTGTGGCCTTGAGGGCTCTTCCTGAGCATCTTCTTCCTGCAGGGCTGGAGGTGACAGGCTTTGCTCCTTCCAGTGTCACCCCCTCCCACTGCCCTAAACCACAGGGCAGAGCCTCAGATGCCTGAGGCTTCAGAGTGTGGGATCAGCTGCCTGGGTCCCACTCTCAACCTAGCTGTGTGCCTGCTGAGCCCCTATAAAATTAGGCAGTTGAACATTTCTCTTTTTGTGCTGGTACTGGAGCTTGAACTCAGGGCCTTGCACTGTCCTTAAGCTTTGCTGCTCAAGGCTAGCGCTGTACCACTTGGAACCATAGCTCCACTTCAGTTTCAGGTAGTTCTTTGGAGATGAGAGTCTCATGGACTTTCTTGCCCCAGCTGGCTTCAAACCTTGATCCTCAGATCTCAGCCTCCTGGTTGGGATGATGGATATGAGCCATATCCGACTCCTCTTCCTCTTATTCTCCTATTCTCCTCTAGGCATCCTGGTGGGTGTGCAGGGTACACTGAGCCTCAGCTACCTGGAGGACCCTGAGATGCCAGGCCTTTTCCACCCTGCGCCTGGTGCAGCCAGCCACCTACCATCCCTACCAGAGGAAGGCACTCCAGGCACCGTCTTCCTTCTCTCCAAGCAAGGCAAGAGTTGGCACTACCAGCTGTGGGACTATGATCAAGTCCGAGATAGCAACCTGCAGCTGACAGACTTCTCACCCGCAAGGGCCACCGATGGACGGGTGTATGTGGTGCCCACTGGTGGGGTGCGTGCCGGCCTCTGTGGCCAGGCCCTGCTCCTCAGATCACGGGAGTCAAGCCACTGACCTGACCACACCTTAGCTCTGTCACCACTGGACAAGTGCCCCAGCTTCTCCCCATGTGACAGCTGTGGATTTAGTTCAGAGACCCTTCCCCAGTCCCCCCACTATCCTGTCTCAAGCCCATCCCTTTTGGAGTTGAATACTGATCCCCCTCTCTGGGGAGACAACTCAGACCCTACATCCTTCCCATCCCACCCTGATATAACCCCCACCTGCCTCTTGGGGGCATCTTCTAAGAAACTGTCACCTCACTGGACATCTGCAGGTACCTCCTGCCTGGGCCCCAACCCCAGCCTGCTTAGAAGACCACATAGAACACTTCCCACTGAGTTCTCCTGGTCCATCTCACCCTCCCTCTGGCCCATGTGTTGTGCCTTAGCTTTTCTGCTCAAGGCTGGTGCTTATCACATGAGCCACACCTCCACTGCCAGCTTTTTTTGTGTTTAAGTAGGAATTATAGTCTCACTGTCTTTCCTTCTCCAGGTTAGCTTTGAACCATGATCCTCAGATCTCAGCTTCTTGAGGAAGGTAGGCTTACAGGCATGAGACACCAGCACCAGGCTGATCATCATGATTAAAAATAAATAAATAAAAAGATGTGGACTGAGTCAGCCCTGAGCCTGCTTCTCTGTTCTAGCACTAAAATATAGAATATGAATGTGAACCCACATACCCCAGATACAAAGGAAAAAAAAAAACCCACCATATTGACTTTGTCCTGTTTATTGGGGTGTTGTGGGTAAAGGCGCAGTGAAGCCATTTGCCTCAAACCCCTTCCCACCCAACCCCCCAATCTAACAACTACCTGGTTTATAAATACATAGGAAGATGATCAGTAGAAAAGGACAGGGCCATCTTCTCAGCCCTGCAGCCCAGATCCTTGGCTTGGGAAACAAGTCGGTGGCCATCTGTCCTCCCTTTGGCCAGGAAGCCAAAGTCACAGATGCTGCAGCAGTGGAACAGTGGACACATCTGCCACACCCAAGGTTCTGGAATCTTTGGTGTCGACCTTGGACTGCAGGCCCAAGGTCATGGCCAGCACCTCCACCTGGGCTTCTGGGCCACCTGCCCTTTCACTGGGGGCCCTCCTGAGCAAGGCCACAGGGATTCCCAAGGGAAAAAACCTGTTACCCTGGCCTCAGAAACCCCCTTCCTGCAGCCCCAGTGTGCTGAGAGGAAGGACCCCCAGAGCTCCAGGGCAGGGGGCTGACAGGAAGAGGAGGCGGTCCAGAGTCTGGATCTGGTGCACCAAGGAGTGAGGTTGTGCTGGTCACAGTGCCGGCAGGCAGGTGGCTGTGGTTTGGGTGTGTGGCAGATCAGGGGAGTCCTCAGAGGAAAAGGGAGGATCCCAAAGAGCCAGGCAGTAGGGAGTGGCTGTGCCCCACCCAGGAACTTCAGACCTGGGCAGTGTCAGCAGGTGCCCTGCAGTGTCCTGCCCTGTCACTCAGCACTTGGACAGCCTCCAGAGACTGGAGACTTGGCCCCATGTTTGTAAATGATGCCTGATCTGGGAACCAGGAAGGGCTCACAAGGGTGGCCACAGGTCATCCCAGCTATCAGGAGAAGCCTTCCCCGTGGGTCAGGAGAGCTGGTGTTTTCCCAAGACCATAGCAGAGCCCGCTGCTGCCTAGTGTTCCAGGGCCTTAAGACCTTCCACACACGGGTCTTGTGCCACCAGCTCAGACTCCCACGGAATCTTGGGGCTCCTCCCAAGCCAGAGCAGTGCCATCCCATGAATGAGCCTGGCAGCTGATGGGTAGGTCAACTTTGGACCAGTCCCTGAAGGAGGCCTATCAAGTTGTCCAGACCCCAGAGGTAGCCGTCCTCTCGGTTGCCCTCGGCCCAGGGCAGCCTGTGGCTGAGCGTCTGGTGGTCAGGCAGGGCCACTGTCTTGCCAAAGTCGATCATCCACACCTTGGCCAGGCCAGTGTGGTCATGTACAAAGAGAAGGGAACTGCCCACCACCTGTAGGGGAGAGACAGACAGTGAGGAAGGAGTGGGCAAAGGTCAAAGTTTATGCCCTGGCTGGCGGGAGAATTGGCTGGTAGATGGCATGATCCTTAGTCCCAGCTGGCCTGAGTTCAAGTCCTGATTGACTGTCACAGGGCTGTCTTGGAGAGATGGTTTAATCTCTGTGTGTGCTTCCTTCTATATAAAGCAAGGGTACAGCAGGACACCAGTGGCTTCTGCCTGTCACCCTAGCTACTCAGGAGGCTGCAATCAGAGGATCCAGGTTCAAAACCAGCCCAGACAGAAAAATCTGTGAGACTTTTATCTCCAATGAACTAGCAAAAAAGCCAGAAGCAGATGTGTGGCTCAAGTATTAGAATGCCTGCCTACCAAGAGCAAGCCCTGAGTTTAAACCCCAGTACTACCAAAAAAAGTTGCGTCACCAAACTGGCAAAACCACACAGAGGCACAGAGCAGCAGAGATGAGAGGGAACCCTCGGGCCTTCCCTTTGTGATTGCCATTTAATGCCTGAAGGCAGGGACAAGGATAACAAAGGTGACATTTGTTTAAAAACAAACATGACAGTGACAGCTGGCACCTACTAATGGTTTACTCGGGGCTGGGCTCTCATGAATTTGCCTGTCATCCTCTCTCTGCCCACGTGGCAGGGGTGCTGTCCCTTGTCTTCCAGGTATGGACATTGAGACTGCCTGGAATGGCTGCCAGGCTCAGGAGGCTAGGGAGGGGGCAGAGCTGGGATTGGAATCTAGGTCCATCTGACTCCCAGGTCTCTGGATCTCTGGGGAGATTGGGACATCAGGAAAGAGAGGAAAGAAGCTGAGGGTCAGATGAAGGAGCCTGGTGAGCAGAGGATGCTCACCAAGGGCGAGGCCACCTCTTCATAGATTTCCCAACCCCTCTCAGCAGTATGTTTCCCAAGAAAGATGGTGTAGGAATGTGGGTGATACAGCAAAGGCGCCTGACACCAAATAAAGAAGACATAAAAACAGACACTATAAATAATTACTGTCTCCTCGTTGCTGAGGAAGCGGAGATCCACAGGATTGAGGTTCAAAGTTAGCCTGGGCAGAAAGATCTGTGAGATTCTATCTCCACTTAACCAGCAAAATGCTAGACTGAAGGTGTGGCTCAAGTGGTAAAGCACTAATCATAAGCAAAAAAGTTGAGCAGTAGGGCAGGCCCCTGAGTTTCAGCCTAAGTATTAGGACAAAAAGGAAAAAAAAAACTTCTTGTCAGAGCTGGAATGCTTTGTATGCCCCCAAAATCAGTCTCCAGTGGTTCTGTCATACCTCAGTAACACTGAAAGTTGTTCCTGTCTGTGTCCTGGAGCCCAGCCAAACTTTGGGGTCTCTCTTGTTTTAATTGTTGCTTATGGGGCTTGAACTCACAGCCTGGCTGCTGTCCCTGAGCTCTTTTGCTCACTTGAGCCACAACACCACTTTGCGTTTTCTGGTGGTTAACTAGAGAGTCTCATGGACTTTCCCGCCCAAGCTAGCTTTGAACAGTGATCCTCAGCCTCTTGAGTAGCTAGGATGGCAGGCATGAGCCATCGGCACCCAGCGGAGCCTCCCTTTTATCACTGTCCACTGTCCCCGCAGGCTGCCTGGCCCACCTCCCTCATGTACACCCACGGTGTCCAGGGGCTCGCACCTCATGGGTCCTGAAGAAAGGGGAGGTCTCCAGAGCTTCTCGAAGTTCTTCTAGCCGGGCCACGTACTTTCTCTGAGTGGGAGAGGATAGGTGTCTTGGTTAGAGACTTGTCAGCCACCTAGAGGCCTCCCCAAAGTGGGAAATGGGTAGGATTCATTGGAGTGGCACAGACAAGAGTGAAGCATGTTATACAGTCCCTTGCATGGAGGGCTGGACCTGTTTCTCTTTACTTTTCTCTTTGGTTGATATGGGGCTTGAACTTGGGGTCTGGGGACTATCCCTGAGCTCTTTTGCTCAAGGTTAGCAATCTACCACTTTGAGCCACAGCACCACTTCCAGTTTTTGAGTGGTTAATTGGAGACAAGGGTCTCACGGACTTTCCTGCCCTGGCTGGCTTCAAACCATGATCCTTAGATCTTAGCCTCCTGAGTAACTAGGATTGCAGGCATAAGCCACCAGTGCCAGGCTTTCCCTTTCCTTTTGGTTTGGCCTAGTCATGTGCCATGACCTGCCCTGCCCAACAGAATGCAGCCATTCCAGGCCCGGGTACCAGGAAGGCTGACCCATCTATTTGCTCTCTTGGCTTGTTGTTCCCAAGGTGAGAAGCAGTCTGGGCTGGTCTGCTCCATCAGGACAGATGGCCATTTTGAGCCAAGACAATGAGCCAGCAGGCAGACACCCAAGTCAAGCCAGGCTGGACTCTGCCAGCCTGGGCCAAGCCACCAGCTGACTGTGAGCGCTGAGCAAAGCATGCCAGCAACAGCCCAGGCCCAGAGCTAAATGACTTGAAGTGACAATAGATGGTGGCTGCATTTAGAGACGAGGACATTCCACTCACCAGAATCCCTCGGTCCCTGTCCACAAAGTCATCCAACACCTTCGTCACCTGCTCAAGCGCCTGCGTCTTCTTGAAGTTGGTGTTGCAGTGGCCATCAGCTTTCTGCAAGAAGGGTGAAGGGGTGTTGTCAATGCTGTGATTGTGGCCCCCCCCCCATAGGCCTCCAAGATGCTTACTCTATGTTTAAGGCAAACAAGTCTACCTGCCTGGCCCAGCTCAACCCAGCTCCAAAGTCTTAACTTTGGGGAGAGGTGTACTGGGATTTGAACTCAAGGTCTTGGGTTGTTAGGCAGGCTCTAGACTACTTCAGCCATACATCCAGTCCTTTGGGCTTTAGGTGTTTTTCAAATAATATCCTGCGTCTATGCCCAGCTGTTCTGTACTGTGATTCTTCTATTTAGGCTTCCCGCATAGCTGGAATGATAGGTACACTCTACCATGCTCAGCTCTTTATTGAGAACTTGTGAACTTTTTTTTTTTTCTTTTTGGCGGTTGTGGGGCTTGAACTCTGGGCCTGGGCGCTGTCCCTCAGCTCTTCAGCTCAAGGCAAGCGCTCTACCACTTGAGCTACAGCGCCACTTCCGGTTTTCTAGTGGTTTTATTGGAGATAGGAATCTCACGGTCTCTCCTGCCGGGGCTGGTTGAACCGCAATCCTCAGATCTCAGCCTCCTGCGTAGCTAGGATTACAGGTGTGAGCCTCCGGCGCCCGGCAAGAACTTGTGAACTTTTTGCCTGGGCTGGCATTGAACATAATCCTCTCAATCTCTGCTTCCTTCCCAAGTAGCCAGGATTATAGGTGTGACCCACTCAGCTCTCAGCCTAACTTTGATTGGGCCAGTTTAGCCAGCCAGGCTTTTAGAGAATGGGATCTGGCTTTTGGTTGTGACTATGACAGTCTCTAACTGGATAGTCTTAAGTCAACTCAGCTTCAGGTGCTCTATCTGGAAAACGGAAGTTTATTTGGATCTTCTTCCTAAAGCTGATGTGAGGCTTGGAGGAGACTTGGGTGTAGGGTACAGGGGATGGGGCATGATGCCTGGCTTCTATGCACTTCCCTCTTTTTTTTTTCTTCTCTCTCTTTTTCTTTTTCTTTTTTTTTGGTTCCAGTACTGGGGCTTGAATTGAGGGCCTAGGAGCTGTCCCTGAGCTCTTTTGCTCAAGGCTAGCTCTTGGCAATTTGAGCCACAGCTCCACTTTTGGCTTCTTGTGGTTAGTTGGAGATAAGAGTCTCTGACTTTTCTTGCCTAGCTGGCTTTGAACCATGATCCTCAGATCTCAGCCTACTGAGTAGCTAGGATTACAGGCATGAGCCAGTGTGCCTGGCTTGCTTTATTTATTATTTTATTTCTCTCCAGTAGCACCCAGGATCTTGCAGATACTAAGTAAGCCCTTTTCACTGAGCTACAATCACAGCTCACCCTTTTGTTAAGACGAGGTCTGACTCTGTAGCTTAGCTTAACCTGAAACTCATAGTGCAGGCTGGTCTTGAAATCACAATCCTCCTGGCCTCAGCTTCCTAGGTGCTGGGATTACAGCCATGCACCATCACACCTGGCTTATTTCTTGACTATTCAAATTACATTCTGAAATAGCTATTTCAAAAGTAATAAAAAGAAGGGGAAAAGGAATGCAAAAAAGAAAAAATAGAAATCTTCAATCTTCATAGCAAAGAGGAAAGAACTTCCTAGAGAACTGGAGGTCATGACCAGAGGATATGAGGAGCTGAGGAGCCCAAGGAGGCTAGGACAGTAGAAGATACAGGTTGGACTTGACCATGGCCACAGAGAGCAAGAGGAGAAGATGATGCGTCTCTTGTGCATTGGTGGCTCACGCCTGTAATCCTAGCTACTCAGGAGGCTGAGATCTGAGCATCTCATTCTCTACAGGGTGAAAGAAAAGTGGAGTCTTCCTCAGACCTGGCCTGTCCATCCTCCAAGGCCTGCTTCTCATTCACAGCTGTGTCTTTCTAGCCTCTCAGCCTCCCCTGCTCTGTAGGAAGCACAGCCCCAGGTCTGGTTCTGCTGTCAGTGTCAGGCTCTCACCTTGATGCCCTCGATCCGGAAGCCCAGCGTAGAGCTAGAGCTCACGGTTTCCCTCCACTGCATGTAGCGGGGCTTTGTTACAGCGCCCTGAGCATGCTCCTCTGGAGTGGGGGCTCCAGGGTCCACAGCCACCATCTTCTCATACATATCCTTCCGGGGCCGGGGCCTCTCCCGGGCCTTCGCCAGTTCTTCTTCCAGGTAGGTTCTGAGCACACAAGGATGAGACAAAGAAAATCAGAAGGCACAAGGCTGGCAGGTTTATCCTTCCTTACATGAAGACACAGTTCAAGCTATGATGGGTTAGAATATGTAAATAAAGCTGGGTGCCAGTGGCTCATGCCTGTCATCAGAGCTACTCAGGATGGAATATGAGGTGCAGGGTTTGAATACATACCAGGCAGGAAACTTTGTAAGACTCTTATCTATAATAAACTACCAAAAAGCCAGAAGTGGAGATATGGCTCAAGTGGTAGACCACTAGCCTTAAGTGAAAAAGCTCAGGAACATCTCCCAGGCTCTAAGTTCAAGCCCCACAACCCACACCAATTTTTTTTTTGGGGGGGTCGGTCGTAGGGTCTGAACTCTGGGCCTGGGTGCTTTCTCTTAGCTCTTAGCTCAAGGCTAGCCTCTACCACTTGAGCCACAGCGCCACTTCCAGCTTTTTCTGCATATATGGTGCTAAGGAATCGAACCCAGGGCCTCATGCATGCAAGGCAAGCACTCTACCACTGAGCCACCTTCCCAGCCCTGAATTTTTTTTTTAAATCACACACACAAGCCAGACACCAGTGCTCACACCTATAATCTTAGCTACTCAGGAACCTGAGATCTGAGGATCACAGTTCAAAGCCAGCCCAGGCAGTAAAGTCTGTGAGACTCTTATCTCCAATAAACTACACAGAAAAAGCTGGAAATGGCACTGTGGCTCAAGTGGTAGAGTACCAGCCTTGAGCAGAGAGTGGCTCAGGGACAGAGCCCAGGCTCTGAGTTCAAGCCCCAGGACAGGAAAAAAAATCACACAGAGAGAGAGAGAAAGAGAGAGAGAAAGAGTACAATAGCAATCAAGACCACGAAGAAATCCCCTGCATAACCATCAAAAGTATTTAAGTAGTAAAACAACACCAAGTGGAACAAGGGGAGTCACACCACCTCACCCCCCCCACACACCCTCCACCCCATCCAATGCTGCCCAGACTCTACCGGCTGCCCATCTTGCAGTCCATGATGGAGGGACCCTCAAAGTCTGCCAGGAGATCCTCCATCTGATTGAAGGCCTGGCCATCACGATGCACCATCCCATAATAAGCAGGCACAAAGGGCCGCAGGGGGTCACTCATCAGCTGTTCCAGACTGCGCTGCTCACACTGACAGAAGCGTTTCAGAATCCGACCATCCTCCCCTGCCTGGAAATTCCCTAAAGGCAGTAGGACCAAGGGGCCAGTCAGAAACTGGTTCGAGAGACTCCCCAGCCACTCCTCCAAGCCCACTCCCATCTCCCTGCAAGCCAACACCCTGCCTGACTCCATCCATGCAGCAGTCCTCAAAGAGTTTGGGTAGCCATGGCAATGGATGGAAAAAGCGAGGTCCAAGAAGGGAAGGTAACCTTCCCAGGGCCACTCATGAATAAAAAGCAGAGTGATTTGGATGCAGGTGGTTCACACCTGTTATACAGGAGGCTGAGGTCTGAGGAGCATAGGTCAAAGCCAACCAGGCAGTAAAGTCTAGGGGACTCATCTCCAAATAAAAAAAAGCCAGAAGTGGAACCAAGGATCTGAGTTCAAGCCCTTGTATTGGCACACGCGCGCGCACGCACGCACGCACGCACGCACACACACACACACACACACACACACACACACGGCTGTAGCCTGACATGAGAATGCCCAGTTCAGGGCTGCGGTGAGTTTTGTTACATCTGTAACACACACACACACACACACACACACACACACACACACACACACACGGCTGTAGCCTGACATGAGAATGCCCAGTTCAGGGCTGCGGTGAGTTTTGTTACATCTGTAACACACACACACACACACACACACACGGCTGTAGCCTGACATGAGAATGCCCAGTTCAGGGCTGCGGTGAGTTTTGTTACATCTGTAATTGTAGCTTCTCAGGAGGCAGAAACAGGAAGATCATGGTTGGTCTAGTTTGAGTCCAACCAGGAAAAGTAAAATTTAGTGAGACTCTCTAAACTAAAGCCAAAAGACTGGAGGTGTGGCACAAGTGGTAAAGCACCTGCCTGCCAAGTGAGAGGTACTGAGTTAAAAAATGCTTAGGCCTGGGGCCTGAGTATTCCTCAGACTTGCTCTAAGAGATGTGACTGTCACCTCACCAAAGCCATTTTATAGGCAGGGAAAATAAAAATTAGGGAGACCAGACCTCTGCCCACCCTCTGCCCCCCTCCTCCCAGTTCTCACCAGCGTGTCCTGAGAGCTGGACCCAAGGGTAGTGTTTACGGAAGGACACCACAAAGGGCGAATACTTCAGCACCGTCTTCAGCTTCTTCCAGGGTTTGGTCTGTGGGGCAGATAAGGCTGGATTGAGGGCAGAGGCCAGGGAAGGGAAAGGCTGGAAAACAAGGTGGACCTGAGGTCTTGCTGGGACCAGAGCCCTTTCCTGTGATCAAGTTTGTTGGGTGAGGGGACCTCATAGAGGTTAGACATCATAAGATCACCAATGGTGTGAACAAAGGTAGGGAAAATATTGCTGCCTCTGTTTTTTGTTTTGTACTTTTCTTGTGAGTAATAATAAGTATTATTGGGCTGGGAAGGAGGCAGGGAGGAAGGGAAGGGAGGGGAGGGGAGGAAAGGAAGCAAGCAAGCCAGTGGAGTGTGATAGAACACAGTCTAGGCAGGCAAAAACCCTGGGGAAAGAAAGAAAGAAAGAAAGAAAGAAAGAAAGAAAGAAAGAAAGAAAGAAAGAAAGAAAGAAAGAAAGAAAGAAAG